GCGGCTGGAGGCATCTAGAAACGGCTGGCTGCTAGGGTTAGAAACCCTAGGGTTTCCCATCTGGAACCTTTTTGGGCCGTTGGATCTTGCCAGATCCAACGGCTGATGATGTTGACGGCGGCTGGGGGCTAGGGTTTGTAAACCCTAGCTGAAACCCTAAATCAGTTTAGGGTTTCAGTTTGGGGTATGGGTCGGTTCTGGTTGGCCATGGTATTTGGGCTTGTAAATGGGCTTCTAATTTTGTAATTATTTATTAAATAATAATATATAATATTAATAATAATAATAAATACTAATAATAATAATAATAATTTTAATAATAATAATAATAAATTTAAATGAAAAAAATGATGTCTACATTCTCTACTTATTCCATAAAACCCTTTGAAATGTATTTAATTAACAATGATTACTAATTGAATTCAAGCCTTGTCCAAACTTGAACATGCAAGATAACTTAGTCTTCACATTGGTAAGATAATCATAAGTGTCAACTTTGCTCACATCTATCACCACGAGTAATATCATGCATAACGTGATCTCAATCATAAATTACAATTCTATCATTTTTATTATTTATCATTACAACGAATTGAACTCTCTTATGCTTCTCAAATATATTATGCACACAAATTTGATCTCTCTTTTATTTTCTTAAATCGTTATACCCATGATTGTCTTATTTAACATGAAATCTTCTTTTCCATGATTATGTCAAGATATTTTCACCAATATCATTATCATTTGACACAAAATAAGAAACATCAATTATATTTTCTAAAATTGTTAAACCCTGTAAAACATAAAATTTGAAAAAAAAAATCTTTGCTTTTTCATCACAACGAGAAAGTCCTTACATATTTTCATAGTTTCACACTCACTAGAGAATTTGTACTAATTTGAATTTAGGGTACCTAACGAAATCATGTTTCTTCTCAAATATGAAACACGTCTCACATTACCAAGTGTTCTAACAATCCCATTGTATATTTTAATTTTGATTGTGTCAATACCTACAACTTTACAAGAGATATTATTCCTCTAAAAAACAACACTTATAGACACAACTTAATACGTCACAAATCAATCCCGATTGAGACTCGTATGACAACTGTTATAAGAGTCAAGAATCCACCTATCAATTTGTATAGAGTCTTCATCGAAAACAACTAGAAGTTCATCCTCATCGTAGTCTTCAAATACTTTAGCTTCTCCAGATTTCTCTAGTTATTTTCCTTAGTGATTTGCAACATCCTTTTGGTTTTTATTTTGCAACCTATAACATTTGACATTGATGTGCCTCTTTTTCTTACAGTAATAACACGTTTTCATGCATTTTTGAATTTTGATCTAGTTTTGACATCATTATCATAACCCCTTTCTTAAGTTCTCCCACAAATAATGAGGCCCTTTTATATAGAGCCAAATCCAACCACGAGATATTTCCTCTCATTATACGAGACGAAGGAGTCACAAACATTATCAACTGTGAAAGACTCACGACTATAAAAAAAAATTGTATCTCTAAAGGCCACATAAAATGAGGGCAACAGACAAAGTATAATTAAACCTAAACCCTCTTTATCATACGTAATATCCATTGTCTCCAAATCCAAGGCAATTTCTTTGAAGATAATTAAGTGTTCTACCAAAGATATACATTTTACAAAATAATAAGAATAAATATGTTGTTTTATATACAACTTGCTAGTTAAGGTTTTCTTCACGCATAATCGCTCCAACTTATTCCATAACGCAGAGATAATCTTCTCCTTCAACAAGTCTTGTAGAATTTCATTCGACAAATATAGATGTAATTGTGATAGAACCTTTCGATCGCTACGTTGCTTTTTTTTTTTTTACATCAATGTTGAATGCATGTTATCCGATTCTAGCAGAGCATCTTCTAAATCCATATGCGCTAGAACTGTTTACATCTTCATCGTCAAAATGTGAATCTAGTGTTTTGATCCAACAATAAAATTTCATACTTCAAAGACACTATTATCGTGATTAAGTCAAACAACTCGAATACTTGGGTACTAATTTGTTGAAAGATAATGACAAATATAGTGATCATACAATATAATATGCACCAAGATGTGATGTGAAAAACCCTTTATAAAAAAACCACAAGTAGAAGAAGAGAATTTTTACTAATACTAAAAATAGAAGAATACAAGAGGATTTGTAAAATGACTTAATTTATAACTCTAATCTATGCTATCTATTTATAGAGATAATTACTTTGTTAAGGAAACTTATTTAATGAAAATATATTCAAACTATACTTTCTACTTTTTATCAACATTAAATAAATATGTTTCACGCGTTCAATTAAATTTCATACTTTCTTTAATTTTATATTATCATTCATTTAAGTTAGATCGAATTTGAGTCAAACCCTAAAAAAATTAAGAGAACAATAGTATAGCAGCAGAGTTAGTCTTATATGTGAAAGTGCCCCAATATGAAATTATTAGGCAAAGCACTTGCGAGTAGCCTGAGGGGACATTTTTCTAGCAACAAGAAAAGTAGGGAGTGATGGAGAACAAGTGCAATTTCAAAGCTTTTGCGGGTAAAAGAAAAAACAAAAATGTATGTACCTTTTCGCCCCACGGCAATCCAAATGGACCCAAATGTAACGCATCCAACGGTGTACAAAGATTGCGCTGGAGACGACTGAATGCAATGATTTGCATAGTGCCGTGAGCTTCCACTATAATTCAGACAGTCTTCAAATTTGATATTGGAGAATGCCCGGTCAGCTCCTCGAGCTGAGGAAGTTGTTATTATCCAATGAGGTAAGTTTTGATACTGGAGAAATGGGCTCCATTACTTTCTAGTTGTGACCATTATTTGATGAACATACGATGGGGATTTGACATTTGACTTTTGAGCAACAACACTGTTTTCAAATATATCAATCAGGGATTGATGAATCAACTAAACGATTAAGAAAATGGTGTTTTTAACTCTTTAAAAATAAAGTTATCAAATATATATATATATATTCGATTTAAGTTTTCTCAAACACAAATGCTAAACTAACCCATTCAAACACGGATGAGAAAATCAACTTTTTAGTAAGCCGTCAAATCCTAGCCGTTGAAGATTTGCAATGCCTCATAAGTCAAAGGAATCTAGAAGCCTATGAAGCGAGATTTGATGGTTATGGAGTACTTGGGAGGGGAAATGATACATGTGACAATTTTAACTTACGATTAAAAAATATTATTAGTTTTATTATTATTTAAATAATAAAATCAATAAATAATTATCAAAAATATTATTATTTCTATCGATTTTATTATTATTGAGTGTGATTTTGTATTATTTTTATTATTATTTTGTATTAATTTTATTATTGTTTGATATTTTACTGGAAATGTTAAAAAATATTGATGTTTTAGATAAAAATAATAATATTTTAAGTAATTTTTTACCGATTTTATTATTTAAATAATAATAAAACTAATAATATATTTTTAACTGTATATTAAGAGTGTTGCACCGTAAAACTTACATAGATGAGTTGTTAGATAATCTAGAGGAGACCATGGGAAATGAATGTTGGTTTGAAATTAATTCAGAAAACAGTGGAATTTTTTTCCTTTCCATTGCAATTTTTTTTTCAAATTATAATTAAAATTAATTTTTTTAGTGTTTAAAATTTTTTTGTTAAAAATAAATGTTTAATATTTTTAACCTTATACTTTTAGATATTTGGATTGTAACGTCGTTAAATTTAAACGTTAAGTGTCACATATTACTACTATATCTTTTTTAATTTTTAAAATAAAAATAATATATTTATTAAAAACCATATATCTTTTTAAATAAAATTCTCCTCCCCTCCCCTTGCCGTCCCCCTCCCTCTCAATATCTTGGATTATTAGGATTAAATCTCAATTAAATCATCTACTCATTGAATTTAGGGGTTTAGGCAGAGGCAGAGGCAGAGGCAGAGGCAGAGGCAGAGGCAGAGGCAGAGGCAATTATTGGTCAATGGGTGAGCAAGAGAGGTAGGTGACCTTTCAGTGACAAAAGATGAGTAAGAGTTTTTAGGGATTTTAAAATTTTGATTTTTTTAATTCTAAAGAAATTTGTTTTTTAATTATAAATTTAAATTTTTTATTTTAAAATTTTATAAGTCTATCACGTGTAAGATAATATTATATTTTAACGGCACTTAGACACTTAAAAATATAACGTGAAAACGTTAAACACCTAAAAATATAAAAGAGAAAATATTAAACACATAAAGTTTACTTTAGGTATAATTTGGACAATATATATATATATATATATATATATATATATAAAGTTGAATCTCATATTTTTATATGCCATTCGTTGATAAATAATAGTAAAGTATTCTTCGATGGGCACAACAGTAAGAGAATTTTCTCAAAGGTCGGGATATAAATGTTGGTCTCATTTTAGAAACAAAAAAGTAATATAATGATATGAAAATAGGAAGAATAAAATTAATTATGGATAAGAAATTAAAATTATTATTTTTTAAATTGAAACACTGATAGATTTTCAACGAGTTTTTGAATGAATTATGATTTTTTTTATTGAGATGTTTTCTAAAATATGATAAATATGAGAATTGCAAACACTTGTTTCCTGATTAAAATTTATCCAAAGACTTTTAAATAAATTTTCAAAAGAAAAATTATGTCAAAAATAAGTTTTTAAGTATTTTGGACCGATTACCACCCTCTTCTCTAGCTGCGTAAAGAAATTTTGGTTCTTGTTACAAGTATTATAGCAATAAAGCATGATGAATACTTCAATTCATAAGAATTTCAATAGAATGCAGAAGGAAAGTCAAGAAGCCGTAAAGAAAAGCAAGAAGCAAGAGGAATGTTATATGTAAGTAGAGTATTACTATTGGTTGATGAGTGCAGTTATATCGTTGGAAAAGAATAATAGGTTTTGGAGTTTTTCTTTTCTTCGGCCCTTTGTTAAAAGATCCTACTCAAAAAGTGTAAAAACTACAACTTATAATCGGAATAAAAGAATCTGTCATATGATGTATTTTTCAAAACTTTGAGAACACCATCCCAATTCGCCACCTGTTCCGACAATGGCGACATATGTATCTTAACTTGACCACTCCTTAGCTCTCTATAAGGCAATCTTAAGAAGTCTTGAACTTCCCTGAGTTTCTGCGTTGGGTGAAAACTTGTAAAAGGTGAGCCTGTAAAAGGAACTTGGATCAAATTCGAGAGTAATCAAATCTTACCGATCGGTTCTTAACAAGATCTTCATAGTAAAGAACTATGTGGCGAGTGTTGTTGAAATATTCGATAGCCTTTGCAGTTTCTTTCTCGGCCAGCTTCAAATCAGGAATCAGCCGAGTGGTGTTTATAGTCGGCTTGTATTTAGCAAGTATCTGAGCCTGAATTTGAGTCAGCCATTTTAATTGTTAGTGAAGTAGAGACAACAACTGCATGGTTGGTTGTGAGAGAGTGAAAGGTTGAGAAGGAGAGACCTCTGCAGGTGAATGGACATGAGATTTGTGGGTTCCATTCAAAAGCTTAGCTTCTTTGTCATGTGCATTTGCAAGCAGAGATACCAGTCTTCGAAGCACATTCTTCCTAAATAGGAATATTGTAGAAACCCCATTTCTCTTGAAATACTCAACAACATCTTCGTGATGTTTCATCACTCCCTGGGGAAAAAAAATAAATATCATTTTGGTCCATAGTCTTGTAATCACCGTTCTGAATTATATTTACCTGATTAAGCATCCATTTGAACCCAACTGCAGCTGAGCATTCATTCTTGGAAGCGCTAGTGAACCAGTCAAGGTTATAAACTTTATCAAGATTCTCCAGGATTGAAGATGCATTCCTTCTCCTATCTGAAGGTCCCATAATTTCTCCATTTGAGCTAACATTTATGTGGCTGTTTAACAATGTCTCGAACCACCCACTCCCTGATCTCTGCATTGACATAATCACAAAGTATCTCACTGGATTGCACACACATTCTTCCCTGCATAACAACAAATATAAACTAGCTAAGAACAATGGATAATATAAATATAAGGATAAGATTAATGTCATTAGTGGTACCTGCTAAATGTTTTAGGGTTTGGAAAATGTATAAAAGGAGCTTCCCATCGTTCAATGCTTAGAGTTTGACATTGCTGCGGCTTCTGGTCTGTTTGAGTTTTGGTGTCTGTGTGAGGGGTTACTACCCGTAACCGGATTGAGCATATATAAACTCCAGAAACCATGAAGAAAAATAAGATCAAAATTGTTATTGTTAATGGAAATTTCTTTGGAGTCTGTGTATACTTCGGTTCCTGCATGTATTTTCAAATTTGAACATGATATTTAGTGTGCATTCATAAAACCAGTAGAGTTAATCGAGTTAATGCAGTGAAAAAAAAAACCAGAACTAGGCGACTTAGGAACTTACTGACGCTTCCATGTAAAAATCTCCATTAAAAAGTTAAAAAATAAACTGGAGGAAGTTAAAGAGTTTCATTTTGGATTGGTCTGATTTTTGTAGTTATTTTAGAAAAAGAAGGCGAATGAAGAGGTCAAAAGCATGCAATTTGTAAGGAGAAGTGATTATTAGATTAGTTCACTAAACATCGAATCTTTCCGTTTTTAATTTTATCAAATTATATAACTGAATTTTTATCATCAACGAATTAAAATACTTATGCTAATTTCGCTAAAGATTTCTAATGTAAAAAATTATCTTACCATGCGTATGTAACTCATTTTTCCATTCTTCTCCTATTTCTCATTATGTATTCTTATTTTTTATTACGAAGAGAAACAATTGTGAAAAATTATTTCATGGACTCTTTTCATCATGTCATCAATGGTACCAACCAATTAAATAAATCCACATCAATTCTTTTTCATGTCATATATATACAAGGATTTTATTTTACAAATAAGTTATTCATTAATACATATCAAATTAACCTTAAATTTAAGAATTATTTTTATAATTAATGTTATTTTCTTCCCCAAGCACAAAACAATCTTCTTTCTCTTACTTTCTCTTAGTTGCTTGGAACCTTTAAAGCACCAATTATCTGTTCTCTGGCACTGTCGTCTCCTAGCCATCAGTTCACTGGAATTTCCAAATCGAATAAACCCTCTCAATGCTTAAAAATACTATACTCCCTCTACACGTTGGTTTCATTGCTTTTAAATGGCAACACGATCGGCCTCCATTTTCAACCACCTAACGTTTTCTAACCAAGCCCTTAATCCCACCTTTCCTTCTTTGCTTTGTTTGTGTTCAGCTGCCCACAAAATTTGTTTACACCATAAATAACGTTCTATACTCTTGGACAAATCTGTCCCTAAAAAGGGACTCGAGGCCTATTTAGAATATGGCGTTTTTCGGGTTTATCTGGACTGTCTGGTTATATAGGAACCGCATAATGTTCAACGGCAAAACTTGTTGTGAAAATCAACTCTTTGAATTAGCCTCGTGCAGGATTGGGTCATGGTGTAAATTCAAGTGGTCATATTCAATATTGAGTGTGGAGGAGTTCTGCCGACGACCCGAGTTACAAAAACTATGACTGAAGAATCCTCACAGTGTTTATAGAGTGCATTTGTAGATACTGTCACCTGTTTTAATTCGTTGGCTGCTGGTGCATTTGGCTGTTGTGTGTTATTCCATTGAGTCTTCCCCGTCAAACGCACATCACCTTGGACCACGAATGGCTACTTCTGGCTGTCATAATTGTGTTTTATCAATATCTCTGTTTTGGAATTGTCCATGATGTTCTGTGCTAGATTTACTTCCTCAGTGACAATCATTTGTTACGCTGATGGCTGCTGTGTGCACATGGAAGTCCAGAAAGTGTTGTTTGGGTTTGGGCACAACACATATGTTATGTTCTACTACAGGATAGTAGCTACAGTTCTGGGAGTCTGACAGTGAGAGTGGGTGTCGATGTAAAGGATTCTTTGTTCCTGGTGTAGTTCGGGAGCCTCGGGCTCAACTCATTTGCCTTTGTTTAGAAGCTGATGGTCTTCCCTGCTGGAAGTGAGCATGGCGCTATAGCGTGATCTACTTCTCTGAAATTCTGTGTTTATGCGTCTGTTGAGGCAATATTAAAGCTGGGGTTTGGCTCTTCGCCCTACCCGTGTGTATGCTTGTTTTATTGCGGTCTTTTACTAATGTTCTATTGTAGGTTTCCTATCATAACAACTCATGGTGTACTCTTTTTTATCATGGTGTACTCTTTTTTATCCATTTAGTTCTAGGGATTTTTTTAACGAGGCTCTTGACGTTGTTTAATTTTGTATTCCACCCATTTTTAATACAAAATTCCCCTTTTCGAAAAAAAAGTATTCGTCAACTTTGAATTGTTTATCTCTCCAACTAGAATATTCAAGTGAGTCATATTTTATATACATTATCCTTCAAATCGAAGGTCATCTCTTAAATTAATAAAGTCTTTTTTAAGGTCGTAAGAGTTTCTTTAAGATTCTTTATTGTCTCACAAAACCACAAAACAAAAGAAAAATATAAAAATAAAATAGGTTTTCGTTCCGCTTAAACAACACTGTAACGCCTATATTTTATCTCGACACTGTAACAACAAGATGACTAAAGTAACTAAGAGAAAGAAGATTGTTTTGTGAGTGGAGAAGAAAAGAGCATTATTTTTGATATGTATTAATGAAGAAACTGATTTAGAAAATAGAATCTTTGTGTATAGACCACATGGAAAAAAATTGATGAAGATTCATTTAATTAGTTGAGACCATTAATGACATGGAAGAAAGGATTCATGAAATAATTTCTCAACAATTTATGACACCCGATTGATTCTTTTGTCGTTGGGTGTACCTTTTATTATTTATTATTTCATTAATAAACTATCAACACTTTTATTAAAAAAACAAAATGATAAATTTGACTTTACGCATAATCGTGATTATAAACTAAAATTGTAAAAATAGACTAGTTAATTTAAATATTTAAAACTTAAATAGTGAAAATAGATAAGTTAAATTAAAAAAATATTCTATTACAACAACAACAACAAAACTCTATTCCCATATGCAATGGGATAAGGGGGAGGTGGGATAGTAGGCTGCCCCTAATACCAGGTTGAGAGCAGCTTCCGTGGAAGACTTCCGGCAATTAGAAAAATTAAAAGTAAAGATAGAAATGCCATGCATGTATAAATAAATAAATAAATAAATAAACAGTTGAACAATCTTCATATGCAGTCTACATATGTGCGTCTGAAATGTGAAGTAATCCCAGCAAATAAATCACTGCATAAAAATCTCTGCATATAGACAGAAACGTAAGACTCGACTAATATTTAAAAAGAGCAAAACTTGAAGTAAAAGATACACAAAATTCAATGATAGCAAGCAACGAGAAGGAATAAAGTCAAATGTGTTAAAACCTAAACTAAAGCAACACTACTCCGCTACCGTAGTTCTAAGCCTTCATAAATTCCAATGACAGAAACGTATAAAAAGAAGAAGTCATGGAAATTACTACAAATGCATAAAAAGAAGACAGAGATGATATACCCTATGGATGTGATATGTACTACTCAGTTACCCTGATTTTAAGTCTCCATACTTTCCTATCAGAGGTCATGTCCTCAGTAAGGGCTAAATCCTTTAAATCAAATCTCAAGCAGTCTTCCCACTTCCGCCTTGGTCGTCCTCTCCTTCTGGCACCGTCGACTGTAATCGACTCCACCTTCCTGACCGCATCCGATGGTTGTCGCCTAAAGACATGCCCAAACCACCGTAGTCTTCCCTCCCTCAATTTTTCGGGTATAGGCACCACCCCCAAGGACATCCTAATAGCAGAGTTTGGTGTCATGTCCCACAGAGTCCTACCACATGCCCATCGAAGCATTCTCATTTATGCGGCCTCCATCCTCCTTACGTGATCCTTCTTGATTGCCCAACATTCTGATCCATACAACAACGCTGGTCTTATTGTCATTCTATAAAATTTTCCCTTAAGTTTTAGAGGCACCTTCTTGTCACACAAAACTCCGGTAGCAGCCCTCCACTTTAGTCATCCCGCCTTTATACGGTGTGTAACGTCATCATCCACACCCCCATCTTTATGTATCATAGACCCTAGGTACTTGAAACAATCCTTTGAGGGGAGAACGTGTCCTTCTATGCATACTTCTACATCTTCATCGTTTTGGTTCCCACTAAAGTTTGAACATAAATACTTAGTCTTTTCAATATTGATCACTAGACCTTTTTCTTCCAAAGAAGTCTTCCAGGTAGCCAGTCTACTATTCAGCTCAGTCCTTGTTTCAGCAACTAGGATAATATCGTCAGCGAAAAGCATACACCATGTGACACCGTCTGGTGTCGCACAGTAGATGTCGTCCATAATCAAGGCGAAGATGTAAGGGCTAAGAGCCGACCCCTGGTGGAGTCCGATTTCCACCGGGAATGGCGCGGTGTCGCCAACTATAGTCCTGACGTATGAAGTAGTTCTACAGTACATATCACGAATCGCCCGGATATAAGCAGTTGGGATCCGTCTCGTTTCCAAGGTCTTCCAGATCGTATCGCAGGGAACTCTATCATACGCCTTCTCAAGGCCAATGAATGCCATGTGAAGATCTCTATTTTTTTCCCTATATTTCTCCATAAGCCGTCGAAGAAGATAAATTGCCTCTGTAGAAGACCTACCTGGCATAAAGCCAAATTGGTTTTCCGAAACCCTAGTAACCTGTCTCAACCTAGCTTCTATCACCCTTTCCCATATCTTCATGGTATGGCTGAGTAGTTGTAGTTGCCACAACGTTGGGGATATCCTTTATTCTTATAGATTGGTATCACCGTAGATTGTCTCCACTCATCTGGCATCTTGGTAGTCTCTAAAATAATATTAAAGATATTGGTCAATCACTTAACTCCCTCTCCTCCTAGGGCCAACCATACAGTGATAGGAATTTGATCTAGACCAACAGCTTTGTCCTTCCCCATCTTTTTAAGAGCCATTTTGACTTCCTCAAACCCAATCCTACTAGTAGGGCAGTCATAGACCGTAGTATGATGGTCGGCTGACCCATCAACGATACTATCTCTACATGGAGAGGCACCGTCATTAAATAAGCCAAAGAAGTAATTACCCCAAAGCCTCTTAATATCATGATCTTTCACTAAAAGAACACCATTGTTGTCCTTAAAAAACCTAATGCTACCTAGATCTTTTTTCCTATTTTCCTTGGATTTTGCTAGCCTAAAGATGTCGTTTTGTCCATCCTTGGTGTCTAATCTCTTGTACATTTCCTCGTATGCCTTATCATTTGCTTTTGCCACCATTTTCTTGGCTTCCCGCTTCGC